AGAGAGAGAGAGAGAGAGAGAGAGAAGAGAGAGAGAATATTAGTGGAAAAATATACATACATATGCAAAATATATAAATACCCATACATGTATATTTTTAGAATAAAAATTCCAAGAGGAAGAATCCAGGTAGAACTCAATGTCCAGGACAGAGTAAGAATATAATAAAAAGGCTTAAACACTATTGAATTTGTAGGTCTGATGAATTGGATCGTATTTACGATTTCAATGGAATAAATTATGACCATGGAATATTAGTGTTTAAGCCTTTTTACTATATATATATATATATATATATATATATATGAGAAAAATGGGCATAATTTATAAGTAAATAACGGTCAACCCTCTACGAGTATTTTTTTTATTTAGATTTAGTATTGCTATGTATTGCTGTCCAATTACTATTATTTATATCTTATATAGATGTTCCAGAATTTTAATTTTATCTACAGGTTCCTTTAAGAAGCTTCCTGAATCTGTAATTTAAAAAATTTATTTTCTGTTGAAATTAACTTAACGTCTGATTATCCTTCTTCCTCCCGTGTTATACTGGAACATACCTATTCTATTGTAAATAGACTCTCCCAGATATAATAAGTAGAAGTAGTAGCAGTCGCCAGGGAGCTCAGAGAGAGTTGGTGTGTCAGTCGATGTCGGACATTAAAGTATCAACCACCACAACTAGATTGCTGCGTCATTAACTATTTTTTCAAGTTCCTAACGTTTTGTACTTCGGACCCTTTTAGGACCGACTTAGTGAAATACAAGCCTCCACTGTGTAAACTACTCTACAACACCCTCTGCGTCCATTGAAAAACTGAACATGTCGTCATATTTGTCTACAATCACAATACATTTGTTACTTACATGTTTTCCATAATTGTCAATGATAGCCAGTCTAAGTTCTGGTTTATCATGTCATGAAAAAATAACTCACCCACCTCCAACCTCTGAGCTTAATTTTCTATTAAGCGTAGATCTGTCATTTAATTGGTTGATCAAGACAAATCCACAAGTCTATTTTTAATTCCGACTTTGTTTTTTCTAATGTACACCTTTATCTTTCCGAAAAGAGGTAACACTTTGCTTTTGAAATTTCCTTAAAAATCATTTAATCACCAGTTACTTATCATTACCTGAAGAAGCACAACATAGTGCCGAAACACGATTTCAACATGTTTTTGATTTAATCTATTATAATGTGTATATATATATATATATATATATATATATATATATATATATATATATATATATATATATGATTGGGTGTGCATTTGGTTTATTGATTAGAGGCTCGGAATGATTAATCGGTGAGATGGGTTCATTACATTCACTTTTGCGGAAATACCATTGCGATAGTTATGCATCTCCTATGGGTTAAATAGCAAGGCAAACTGGAATCATGTGCCGTGGTTGTCAGTCAGTCTAGGAAAAGTACAATATACTACCATAAACTATGAAGGCATCATGGAGTTCCTAATGACTATAATCTCGACTGCGATTGCCCTCTCCGTCGATATATTATTATATGCCAGATATGCCTTGTGGCACTGTGGAATAATGGTTAGCGGGTCGGATAGGGGAATCGGAAAGCCGAGTTCAATTCCAGTCAAGTTCATTAATGCTAATATCCTTGTGAAAGGTATGAATCCATCTCTTCTTCTCCCAAGCTATGGATAAAATAGTAAAGCCCTGAAGCCTTGGATGACAACTAGATTAGAAGAAAACTCTGAATTCAAACTACCTGCTGTCTTTTAGATCCTGCCTCTTTAGGCAAATGCTAGGAGAAAGTAACTTCATAAACAAACCTGAGATGAGGCACGGAGTAACATCAGCATGCAAAAAGATCCAGCATACCATTGCCCTGTTCTGCCTTGAAGGTCACCATGAACAACAATTGTTAGATGGAGGAGAATGGTGACCACAGCGGTGCAAAAATGTGCTCATTGAATAAAATTAAATGAATGATATCTAGAAAACTATATAATTTAATATTAGTAAAAACGGCCTACCGAGGGAAATGACGCCCTAGTCCACTGCTGTTTTTGAGATTTTATACATTTATCTAAGTATCCCTTTTAGGGGGTTCACCATCACCATCACGTTCTTCTTAAAACAACATTGAAACAACAATTTTCGTTTTGGGGTGACGCAGAACACGATGGAGGCTAAATCTCGATTTTAAGTGGAGAGTTCTGGAAGGTAATGTTTAGCAAAAAAAAAAAAAAGACGTGAAAAACGTTTTCACCTGGTCATTATGAATGCGGTGCACAAATTCACTTAACGGTGTATCTCATTGCCTACTGAGTAACTCCACGGGAGAATATCTGTTCAGGCACACCAAATATGCTCTCTACTGTTTGAGTGCCAATTCAAATCAAGCCTGAGCAATTGGTTCTCGAGATATACAAAATAGTTTCATCCATCTCTTGCAGATCTTATGTTTGTATGTTTGTCTATGTGTGTGTGTGTGTGTGTGTGTGTGTGTGTGTGTGTGTGCGCGCGCGCATTTTTATATATATTGTTTCTTGATTGTTGTGGGATTATTCAGTTCAAATAAGGCTATAGTTTTTCATTAAAAACGACAGACAAGGTTTTCTTACTTTCTTTTCTATTTTCGTTGATTTGAATGTTTGTGATCGAGCACTCCCAAACATGTTTCGGGACATTTTCAAGATTTGGGCTCATGACGACGTATCGTCTTTCCCATATTGAACTACTTTTCAATTCCGGCTTGCCTGTTGTATTTTATAGCGACGTCGTGAGATCTTATGTTTGTATGTTTGTCTATGTATGTCTTGTGACTAGCGAGTGAGATTTTTTTGTTGCTTAAATGTATCGTCAGATATTAAGCAAATTTAAAACCGCCAATTCCAAAGTTGAAGAATAATTGTTTGTGATTTTTTAAAGGGGGGGGTATTTATGTACGGTTAAGACTTCAAAGATAGTGGCTTTAGTTCCAAGAGAAAATAAAGACAACGACTACATAACCATATAAAAAATATATAACTACTCTGATGTTGACATATCACCATTCTGAGCCGAAAGCTTAGATCGACGATCAACATAAAGAAATATGTTGGACAGTTTTTGTCTTTGTTTTCTCTCTTGAAACTAAAGCCATTATACGACGCTTGGAATGGCCCATGATAAAACATAATAGACATTCGTTTTCTGTTATAATTAACAATATTTGTTTATATATATATATATATATATATATATATATATATATATATATGTGTGTGTGTGTATGTGTGTGTGTGTGTGTGTGTGTGTAAGTGTGTGTAATAGATCCTGTTGATTTATAAAAATAAATTGAAAAATTAAAATGCTATCGACGTCCCTCAGTCACCCTTTTGAGAAAGTGGCTTCAGATCGTGCCAAATGAAGAGGGTGTGCATAAAAGACATAACAACTTTAGACAAGATTCATACTGAACATCTCGCTATAACTAAACACCACTCTAACATTACTGCAACCTTCACAAGGGGTGGTGTTTCTCTCCCTGTATGTGAAATTCTGTGTGGGTCTTACGCTGGCCTTAATTGTCATCAAAGGCAAAACATGCTGTTAGACCCTTATATGTTGAAAGTGATAGGAGAGTCCATCATATATATATATATATATATATATATATTGATACATGTTTAATTAAATAATATAGACAAGTTGTGTCTATTTATTTTAAGTACGTTCTTTTCATATTGTCTGATGAGCTTAATAACATTATCATTGAAAGACGAAAGGAAGAAATTGATACGTTTTAATCCTATCTAAGCTTTCGGCTTACATAAGCCATTACCAAAGATAACAATTATATTTCAATATATCAAACAATACACGGGCGAAACAATAATTATAGTCTGTTTTTGTTGCATGAAAAATTTCAAAACAACGACAAACTCGTGTATACGAGACGCGGAAGCGAAAATCGCATCGCAGCTCGTGACGTCACACATGACCAAGTGAGAGTGAAAACGAGAAGTATTAAGTATGGGAAGCCGTTGGTATAAACCAATGGCTTCAGTTATCATTTATAGGCACTTAAGAATATTTGTGGAGATTTCGTAGTTTATTTTGTTCAGATTAGGTTTCAACTGTTTTATGTATATAGCTTCAAGAATTTTTAGTTTTTGTTTATTGTTTTCATGTTTAAGTATAGCTGTGTTTTCAACGAGGATTTTCCGGAATTGTGTACGCGGCCAGGCATGTTGTTTTAAATGCTTAAAAATGTTAGAGTTATCATTCAAATATAGAGACAAGCATCGTGAAAGTAAGTTTGTGGTGTGTCAATGATAATGTTATTAAGCTTATCAGACAACATGAAAGGAACTTACTTAAAATAAATAGACACAACTTGTCTATATCATTTATTGAAACATGCATCAATGAAAAATTGCTGCCTAAATATACACAATATATATATATATATATATATATATATATATATATATATATATATATATAAAGTGTAGGAGAACGAACAGTAGGATTACATCGTTCAAAACATTAATTTAAAAATAGTGCTCAATACATAAAGTAGAGCCGTAAATATTTATTTACTTATGCAGTGTTACACTAGAACATGCACATATCCACTACAAAATTGTAAATTTTTGTTTCAACGTCAAAAAGGGAAAAGATATTTTATGAAATTTTCCAAAGAACGGAAGTGGGGGATATTTGCTTCGATAACTGTATTTCTGAATAAAATTATTTAGTAACACCGTAATTCCCCACCTGATAAGACGTCTAAAAAAGGTTTTCCCTTTTTTTTGACGTTGAAACAAAAATGTACAATTTTGTAGTGGATATGTGCATGTTCTAATGTAACGCCACATAAGATTATATATATATATATATATATATATATATATATATATATATATATATATATATATAAAATTTAATTATATAAAATTAATTTATATATATAAAATTTAATTTCTAATTCCAACACGAACTCAGTCTATACCGGGATTGGATGAGACTAACAGATAGATAGATAGATAGATAGATAGATAGATAGATAGATAGATAGATAGATAGATAGATAGATAGATAGATAGACCAACAAGACCAGCCTGTTAAATAAAAGCGGAATATGTTAAATTTATACACGTTTCCAATTTGTTACAGACATTAATAATGCAGAGACACTTCATCAACGTGCCATGGGGGTCTGCAAAACCATTCGACAATGTGTGGGAGTATTTGAAATGATCAATGATCTGACGGGTGCATGTGTGCGTAGAAGCAAGCGGGGGACATTTTAAACATTTGTCATGTGTTGCTATGTTAAGGTACAATGATGGCCTTTTGGACAAATGTTTATATGGACATTTTACCTTGTTTTGGTGTTAGTAACCCAGCACAAAGGTTTGTAAAAGTCTTTTCGGATTGTATCTTGCATTTCACATTTAACATCGTCTATCGAAAACTTTAAACTTAATAACTCAAAAACGAAGGATTTGTGGACTTTTGTTTATATGGACTTTTGTCCTTGTTTTAGCGTGAAGAACCCCCCAAGTATTTTTGATAAAAGTTTGTAAAAGTATATATATATATATGTGTGTGTATGTGTATAAATTTTTCATGAAATTTCTTGTTTATGTCCAATACTTTCTGAATGTTAAAAGGAATATAATATTCCATTCGCAATTGAATAATTATGATTTCTCTGTCACCTGAAAATTTGTCGCATAGAAAAACATTACTCACGCAAAAATCTCTCTCTCTCTCTTTATATATATATATATATATATATATATATATATATATATATATATATATATAATCCGTTGTTGGTATATAATCCAAGTGGATCCTAGTAATATAAAAATATTAAATCTGATCCACAAAAAGAGCTCAATGTATTTATTATTACAGAGCAAATAATTAGTACACAATAAAAACCAAAATTACTTCATACGAGGGATAGGCTTATTTGTCAGTCTTATCCAATCCCGGTATAGACTGGGTTCGTGTTGGAATTAGAAATTAAATTATATATATATAATTGGCGTCCCTCAGTCACCCTTTGAGGAAGTGGCTTGTGATTGTGTCAAGTGGAAAGGTGTGTGCATAAAAGTCCTAGAAATCTTTGTGAAGTTACACATTGAACATCTCTGTATAACTAAACACCGCTCTAATATTCTAGAAGCCTTCACAGGGGTTCTGTTCCTTGTCTTGTGTGTAGAATGTAGGATCTCAATCTGAGCTTTAAAATTGCTGTAAGCACAAACACAAGTAGGGTATCAAGGGCGGAACATTCCTTTGAATTTTCATACATCGAAAACGACACCGGGGCAGAGAGTACTGTGGAGGTTAACAAGCTTGTGGGTTTTGTGAATATTGTTTTATGTGAAGGTGCGTGTTCAGTATATAAACAAAGAAGAGAAAAGATGTATACAAAATAAAACTTGCGTTTCTGCTCGGGGCGGTTATTTCTTCTATGTTGACTGTATTGAAACGAAGGTAAATGTCTCTTGATTATGTCCGTTTTCCTTTTTGGTTCAGAAATAATTGATGGAAAAGATAAGGATAAGAACAGGTAAAGATGGTCGAGCTCAAGTCAGCCTCGTGTTGAGTTGGGGTAGCCGAATCCCTACTTTATAAGTATAGCTGATGAAAACACGCCCGAAAACGACCTCATTGGAAAGTGGAAAGAGAGAGATACTGTCCTTTCCGGAAGTGGGGTTATAAAATGTGACCAAAAACCCATTCTGCTTTCTTTATAATTTGCATCATTCCGGAAAAGGAATTTTTTTTTTATTCTTTATTATTATTTTATTTATTGGTTTTATTTCACTTTCCCACAATGCACCGTGCGTGTCTATGCCTATCGTTTCCGAGATTAGCTTACTAAATACTGTCGGAAATAATGAAGAATAGATTTACATGAGTGGAGTGGCGATGTCGACCGGGGAGTCCTAAGGCGTGAACGTCTCATTCTCCTCCGCTTTAGTAGCCTTCCAGTTGGATTGGCGGAAGAAATGAGGGCAAAGGTATGTTATAAAAAATCCTTTCACCTCATACTTCAGCAGTTTTGTATCCCAAATTTAATTCCAATGAATTTTTTTACTTTATTGGTCAGTATTTTGGGGTTTTTAATTTTATATCCTCCATATCTATGAAGTGATTTTCCTTTGGGTTGGAATATTGCTAACCTTAGTGTGGAGAATTACCTCATAGGTCCAAGAGGGCGAGAGTAGCGTAGCTATATGCGAGCAAAATTGCTAAGATACAGACTCTCCAAGCACCGATGCTGGAAATGACAAGGCGCATGCGTCAGTCAGATCGAGGCTGGTAGTGTGCCCAATATGCAAATTCTCTGGCTCGGCAAGAACGTATAAAAAGGCAAGTTCTTGTTGAGTTGGCAGAACGATTTTTGTGCGTTAATCATAATTCACAGTGTTGCGTACTAAACCAGAATTCGTTGTGAGGATGTTTCTAGTGTCTGTGCTACTGAATAACATCTTTTCTGCTACACTTAGCAATCATTTATTGTTATAAATTTAGTGCTACCTTAGCTACGAACAGTAAAGACGATTTCTCTACTTAATTCCTCTTTTAATATTTATCTCTGTTATGTCGGAAATAATGAAGAATAGACATAAGTGAGTGGAGCGGCGATGTTGTCCGGGGGAGTCTTAAGGCACAAACGTCTCATTCTCTTCCATTTTAGTAGCCTTCCATTTGGATTGGCAGAAGAGATGAGGGCAAAGGTATGTTATAAAAATCCCTTCACCTCATATTCGAGATTCATTTTGGTCGACAGCGAAACATTATTATTGTTCCTGTCTGTTATTACTGTGGTTATCTGACCCTAGTTGAGAGGGTCGCAAAGGAAGGTCGTTTTCTTTTGCAACTCAGCCATTCACCAGCTATCTCCATGCTGGTCTTTTCAGTCAAATTCATTTTCGACAATATCATTTTTCTCTAGTATCTTTCTATATATTTTTATCTCTTTCTTTCTTTCATACACACAGGAATTGGGATTGATACAGATATTTAGTAAGCTTAGCCTAGTCTAGCACAAGGCTGCAATAGAGAAGTAGCCTATAAGGTTCGAACTCAATTTATATGACTAATTAACATTCGTTCCACTCACTCAATACGATTAGAACAGGTAATATCTGCGCATCGACACAAATTAGGTATTTTATATAACTTCAGCAAATGTGACCAGAAATGCAAAACGAAAAATAATAGGCAAGAAAATACTTATCTCTTGTTAAATCCAGCGTTCCCGGTGACGTCTGCATTCCTCTTACTAAATTCGCTTTTTGTTTTCTTGGCGTATCTGCGACAAACTTACATCGTGACCTTGAAGAAGCCGACTAAATAAGAAGGAAAACAGTCGAACTTCTCCAGAAACACTATTCAAATGCTAAATGCCTACAAGCGAGTAATATCCACTTGGGCTCGTCCTGACGTAACGTCACCCAGTTGTAGAAAAAAACTTTGAATATGACAGGAGGAAGGACGTGGTGAATGTTAAAGAAGTTGTTAGCTTCATTCATCATTGATGGCTGACAAAAAAACACTCTCAGGTCTTTTCACTGCCGATTAATGCCAGGGAGGAGGAGGTGACTTTGCTGCTAAAGCTTAGTGGTAAAGCATTGGATCTTAATGCTACGGGACTTTATATTTTATAAACATGGCGGAATGAGATCATTACTTTAAACCAGAGAACCACAAATTGGTTGATATCGAATACAGAGGCTCAATGGGATTATCCAAAAGGAAGCAATAAATAACTGTGGGCTTATCGATAAATTCCTAGGGATCAAAAGGGGGTCGATAAATAAATCGTGGTGACTAATGACAAAAATCATCAGCTTCGAATTAAATATCAATGTATTTGCTACTGTTAATCAAATACCTACTTCCCATCAAAGATTCAACCAACATCGGCTCAGATTGATGAATCGGAGAGCCGAGTTCGAATTCCAGTCGAATCCATTGCATTCACTTACGTGCTAATAACCTTGGGAAAGGTATGAATCCTGTTCTCCCCCCCCCACCAGCTATGGGTAAATAGTAAGATAGACCAGATTCTATAGACTTGGGTGGCAACTGGTCTACTTCAGAAATAAATGGCAACCTGCTGCGGGAAAAATCTGCCTCGTCAGTCATGTATCTTTCGATACATGATCGCCTAAGCGTGTATCACGAATGGCACATAACTGACTGACCCTTGGGTAAGGTATGAATCCTGTTCTTCTCCCCAAGCTTATGGTAAATAGTAGGACAGACTGGGTTCTATAGCCTTGGATGGCAACTGGTCTACCGCAGGAAGAAGTGGCAATCTACTGAGGGAAAAATCTGCCTCGTCAGTCATGTATTGAAAGATACATGATCGCCTAAGCGTGTATCCCGCATGGCACATAACTGACTGATTTAACGAGTTATCTCGTTATTATCATTATTATAATAGCGGTGTCAAGGGAAAATCGTTCCCGTTTTTTTTTTTTTTTTTTTTGCGGGCACGAAAGTCAAAGTTTGCCAAATTTTTTCTTTCCTTATGTCACGAAATTTTACTTTTTAATTTCAAGGGAGCATTTTATAGCTTCTCTTTGGCGTGTGCGAATTGCCAGCTAATCGGGACAACTATAAACATACGGGTAGTTTATTGCCATGGTTGACTGCGGTTAACTGAAACCGCGGAAAGCAAAGTCTTGAATGAATAGATCTTTAATTTTTTTTATTTTTAAAAGAAATAATATTTTAGATTTGGCCTTAATCTTTGGCTTTGCGTCCTGGGTAAGACGATAAACTACATCCGCATCCTGGGTAAGACGATAAACTACATCCGCATCCTGGGTAAGACGATAAACTACATCCAACAGCTAGGCCTCTATCAGGAGGCTTTGAGGAGCGTAGAACCACCTCAATTGCTGGTAACCCCAGGTCCACCCTGACCCGGAGTGTAGCACCTGTTAGGGTCCCAGCTATAGGCAAATAGTTAACTCCCAAACTGGGGTCAAAACACTATGAAAGTGTAAAAATAGGTTTTAATACCAACAATAGGTTTTTGTAAAAAAATTACCAGCAATAAATTTTTGAAGAAAATTTAACAGCAATACATTTTTTAGAAAAGAAAAAAATTATGACCATCAATACATTTTTGAAAAAAAAATTATTACCAGCAATTCATTCTTGGAAAAAAATGTTGCTGGCAATACATTTTTCAAATAATATTAACAACAATACATTTTTTTGGAAAAAATATCATCAATAGAGATCTTATCGGTATTAAATGACCCATTGATGTTGGTATGCCGTGAAACAAACCAAACCAAACCAAACCTTTGACTTTAAAGCTTTATATTTTGAAATATCCTACTTGTGACAAATGCAACATAATATCGTATGAGGCTAAATACTGGCTGCGACTGATACGTGTGTGTGTGTGTGTGTGTGTGTGTGTGTGTGTGTGTGTGTGGAAAATATCATGATGCCATTTCTAACCTTAGGTCTAAGGGCGGGACCCAGAAAGAAATGTGTACATACCAGAAATAAAAGGAAATCTCAATAATAAAATATCACCATCTCTATTTTCATAATAATAGATATATATTGTATTATTTAAACATCATACTCTAGTATAATCATTTTTGTCTCCTTGAATAACTTCTACTTCCAATGTCTTTTTCCAACATATTTCTTCACGAATTCCAATCGAATCTCATGGCAGCCAATCTATGAGAAGGAAAACTCCGAAAAACAATTCGTAACCTCAGGGGCTAAACCTGCCGCGAATTGAACGACTGTTCCGTTATGAGTTCGTGAATAATACCTTACAGGAGAGAACCTACCTGAGGTCGATAGATCTGCCATAGGGACAAACACATACTCAAATTATGAATCTTCAGATCCCCTCAGGTGGGATGATCCCAGTGACGGGCCTGCGAATTCTACAACTAGATGCACAAACATTCATTTAAAGAAAGAATAGGTAAAATGGTCACGTGAAAAGAAAGTTAGTTTTTTTCTTTTCAACAGGATTATTGATATATCTGTGGGTAAAATGTATGTTTGTCAGTTGTGTCAAAGGAGAGTACAGGAAACATTACACACACAATGTTTTTGTTCTTTTTTTCCCCCCATTACCACCCTCTGTTTCTGTCGTGCTTTCTTTCTCTTTCCGTCACTATTTTATTACTTTTATCCTTTCTTATCTCTTTCTTTTTATATTTTTAGCGTCTCTCTCTTTCTCTTCGTTCTATCCTCACACTGCTGTCACTTTTAACTCTTTCTCACTCTTTCTTCTGCTTTTCAATATCTTTCATAAATCTCTTCTTCTTTCCCCGCTTTCTCTTCTTTGTATTTTTTTTCATGAAAAAACCGGTGCCATCTACACTTGAGTGACCAAAAGATGGAATAACATCACCGCATCTATCTAGCCCTCTCCCAGACCCTCTCCTTCCCCCCTCTTTCACATTCTACTTCTCTCTCTCTCTCTCTCTCTCTCTCTCTCTCTCTCTCTCTCTTTCATCTTTCTATTCTATCGTCCTTCATGAAAAAATAAGAAAATTAAGCGGACCCTAAGCCACTATCCATCAGATGCTGTTTTGTTGTCTAAACGGATAAGTGACACAGAGCCGGCTGAACAATGTCGCCACAAATCAATACGAAACTGGTCAGGGGTTTATATATATATATATATATATATATATATATATATATATATATATATATATATATATATATAGTTTATGCAAAACTATGTAATCCGTATGGGTAAACCTAAGGAGGATGGTATTCAGAGAGCCCAATGTAAATTCAGAACAAATATGTTTGAATAAAAACAGACCACTTTAAGGTTCCATGTAATAAGTTATTTCACCATTACCGTTTACTTCCAAAGGTTGAAAATCTTTTTCACCCTTTGAAGTAAAGTCTGATGATCCAGAGCACTTTAAAACGGTTGTAGTGAAATAACTT